GTCTGAGGAAATAATAGCTGAAACTTACCCTCCGCCAAAAAAATAAAACAAAAAAACATTAGTCTACATATTCAAGAAAGTCAACAAACTCCAAGAAGAATAAACTCAAAAAAAGCCACACCAAGACATTTCTAATGCCAAAAACAATCTCAAAAGCAGTAAGACACTGATCTCAGAAGCTAAGCAAGGTCAGGCCTGGTTAGTACTTGGATGGGAGATCACCTAGGAAGACCAGGTGCTATAGGCGTAAAAAATAAAGGATTGTAAGCTGACAAGGTCCTTGCGATTTGTGAGGTCAACCAAAGGTTGCCTTGCCTAAAAAAATAAAAAAATAATTTAAAAAATTAAAAAAACAAAAAAACATTAAGACAAGCAACTTATCAATAACAGTTAAAAGACAACTACATAGAATAATAATTATAAATCTATGCTACACAACATGGACACACAACACATAAAGATGTAATCTGTAATAATAAATAACAGCTACAAAGTGGGAATAAACACAACTATATAGAAGCAAATTTTTTGTATACACCTGAAATTAGTTGGTATTAATCCAAACTAAACTGTTTTCAGTTTAGGTATTACTGGAACTCCCTAGGACAACCACTGAGAAAAAAAATAGTTAAACATATGAATAAAACAGTACATTAGAAACTATCTATTTAACACAAAGAAAGCAGTAAGAGAAACTGAGAAACAAAAAAGACATAGAACAGGAAACTAATAGCATAATGGCATACATAAATTCTACCTTTTCAGTAGTTAAATTTAATTTAAATTGAATAAGCCCTCTGATCAAAAGGCAGATTGACATAATAAAAACAAAATCCAACCTATGCTATATATGAAACATAGTTTTAGACTGAAAGACACAAATAGATTAAAACTAAAAGAATAAAGACATGTCATGCAAAAAGTAATTAAAAGATAGTAAGAGCAGCTATATCAAACAAAATTGACTCTCAGACAGAAACTATTAGTAGTAATAAAGGATACTTTATAATGACAAAAGGGTCCATCCATTGAGATGACATAACTATTACAAACATTAAATAAAAATTACCTCTATTCTCAACATTTCTGAAACAAAATGTGTGGGTTTTCCTCACCAAGCAATCTGACACTAACTGCCCAGAGGTAGAGCAGACTCCACAGGTTAAGGGCTCAGTACCGCAAGACTACCACTGCCACTTTAGATGCTAATTACATTGACATCTGTGCTTCTAACCAAGCAGCTATATATTGGAGGTTCCCACAAACTCTTCAGGTTTTATTACTTGCTATAACAGTTCACAGAACTCAAAAAACAGTAAAACAGCTTACTTACTAGATTTCTAGTTTATTATAAAAGGATATATCTCAGGAACAGCCAGGTGGGATTAATACATAGGGCAAAGTATAAGGGAAAGGGCACGAAGCTTCCATGCCCTTTCCAAGTGCACCGCTCTCCCCCAGTCTCTACGTGTTCACCAACCCAGAAGCTCCTGAACAGCTCCAGTTTGGGTTTTTTATGGAGGCTGCGCTACACAGGTACAATTGATTACAACGTCAACCATTAGTAATTAATGCAACCTCCAGCCCCTCTCTCCCATCCCTGGACAATGAAGGTGGGGTAGAATGAGGGTGGGGCCAAAAGTTCCAACCCTCTAATTAGATGGTAGCTTCCCCTGGCAACCCACCCCCTCCCATCCTTAGGGGCTTTCCAAAAGTCACTTCGTTAACATAAACACTGTATGGTGAAAAGCAGAGTGTTAAGAATAACAAGACATTCTATTCACCTTTATCAACCTGGAGGCATTCAAGAACTGGGGACAAAAACCAAATAATAACTTATTGTATTACATTAGAAGCTCTGCCCTGGGAAACCAAGGACAAAGACCAAATATACATTTTTTTATTACATCAAATATCACAAACATATGTACCTACCTAAAAACAGTTCCAAAATACATGAATCAAAAACTGATGAGAAAGCCAAGGACATGCAATCAGAATGGCAACAGATAAGATGCCAAGACTATAAAAATAATTTAAGGAGCATATGGGACACTATTAAGGGTACCAAGATCTGTCTGATCAGTGTTAACTGAAGAAAATCAAGCTGTTGAACAGCTGTTTGAAGAAATAATGATGGAAAACTTCCCTCATCTGGTGAAGGAAATGGACATAAAACCCCAGGAAGCTCAGAGAATTCCAAAAATCAGGGATCCAAAGAGGCCCACACCAAGACACATAATTAAAATGCCAAAGGTTAAATACAAAGAAAGAATCTTAAAAGTAGCAAGAGAAAAACAGCTACTTTTAAGGGAACACCCATAAGAATGGCAACTGATTTCTCAAAAGAAACTATGCAGGACAGAAGAGCTTGGCAAAAAAATATTCATTCAAAAGGATGAAAACCCAGGACCTACAACCAAGAATAATTTATCCAACAAAGCTATCATTTAGAGTTGAAGGACGGATAAAGAGCTTCCTACACAAAAATAAGCTAAAGGAATTTATCACCACCAAGCCAGTATTACAGGAAATGTTGGAGGAACTACTTTAAGAAAAAAAAAACTTGTTATCAAAAACAAGAATAAAGAATGGTAACAACTACATTCCTATCAATAAGTACCTTAAATGGAAAAGAATTAAGTGCTCCAACCAAAAGATAGAGTGGTTGAAAGGATAAGAAAACAAGGCCCCTACATATGCTGCCTACAAAAGATTCAATTTTGATTAAGACACACTCAGACTAAAAGAAAGGGGGTGGAAAAATATATTGCTTTGATGGATCTAGAAGATACTTAAGTCAGACAAAGATAAACACTATATGATTTCACTTATATGTGGAATCTAAGGAACAAAAAGAACAAACTAATCTAAAACAGACTCACAAATATAGTGGACAATTTGGTGATGGACAGAGGGAAGAGGGACTTGGGGGGGGCTGAGAGAAGGGTTAAAGGGTTAAAGAAGTACAAATTAGCAGCTGATGGATTGTCATGGGGATGGGGAGCACGGCATAGGGAATGCAGTTAGCATTAATATGTTGGTCAGGGGAGGGAGAGAGCAATTGAGAGATCATTTTACGAACTATACAGATGTCTAACCAATGTACTGTATATTTGAAACTAATTAAAATTAACAAATTTAAAAAAAAACAAAAAACTGACAGAATTGAAAGAAAAAATAAACAATTCAACAATAATAGTTAGAGACTTCAATACCTCTCCTTCAATAATAGATAAAAGAACTAGGGAGAAGACCAACAGGGAAGTGAACAACAAACACCACACAGCCAACTAGACCTAAAAGACATCGGGTTCACTCCATAACAGCAGAATATACATTCTTCTAAAGTACACATGGAACATTCTCCAGGACAGATCATATATTAGGTCATAAAACAAGCCTCAATAAATTTAAAAGGATTGACTGAAATCATACAAACTATGCTTCTGAACCACAATGGAATTAAGTTAAAAATCAGTAACTAGAGGAAATTCAGAAAATTCACAAATGCATGAGAAGTAAACTCTCCTAAAATAACCAATGGTTCAGAGAAGAAATCACAAGAGAAATTAGAAAAATACTTTGAGAAGAATGAAAACAGAAACACAACACATTAAAGCTTATGGGATACAGTTAAAGTGGTACATAGAAGAAAATTTATAGCTAGCTGTAAACTCCATGTTTAAAAAGAAAAATTTCAAATCAATACCCTAACCTTAATGCACCATAAAAGAACAAACTAAACTCAAGGCTGGCAGAAAAAAGGAAATAAATGCTGAAGCAAAATAAATGTAATAGACCATAAAAAAAACAATAAAGTCAACAAAACAAACCAAAAGTTGGATCTCTGAAAAGATCAACATTGACAAAACTTTAGACTGACCAAGAGAAGAGACTCAAACTGGGACATGACAATCTTACTGAAATAAAAAGGATCATAAAGGAATACTGTGAACAAATGTATGCCAATGAATTAAGATAACCTAGATCAAATGGAAAAATTCCCAGGAAAACCAAAGTTTTGAAACTGGCTCAAGAAACAGAAAATCTGAATAAATATATAACAAGGAAAAAGATTAAATTAGTAATTAAATAACTTCAAAAAAAAGCTTAGGCCCAGATGGTTTCACTGGTGAATTCTATCAAATGTTTAAAAAATTAATACCAACCCTTCACAAACTATTCCACACAATGGAAGAGGAAGGAACACTTTCCAACTCATTCTTTGAAGCCAATGTTATCCCAATACCACGACCAGGCAAAAACAAGAAAACTATAAACTAGTATCTGTTATAAATAAATATAGCTACAAAAATCCTTAAAAAAATGCTAGCAAATCAAATCCAGCAACACATAGAAATTATTATATAAGATGACCAAGTGGGGTTATTCCAGGAATGCAAGGCTGGTTTAATATTCAAAAATCAATGTAATATATCACCACATTAATAAAGTAAAAGACAAAAACCACATGATCATCCAAATTGAAGCTGAAAAATCATCTGAGAAAAATCCAACATCCATTCCTGCCAAAAACTCTCAACAAACCAGGAACAGAATGAAATGTCCACAATCTCTTAAGATCTATGGCTAACACAGCATGCTAAGTGAAAGAAGCTAGTCACAAAGGTCCACGTGTCATGTGATTCCATTGCTATGAAATATCCAGAATTGGTAAAACCATAGCGACAGAAAGTAGATAAGTGGTTGCCAAGGGTTGAGGGGCTAGAGAATGGGAAGAAAAGGGAGCTTTTGCTAACTGGTACATGGTTTCTTTTTGCAGTGATATAAATATTCTAAGATTAGATTGTTGTGATGGCTATACAACTCTGAATGTATGAAAATCCACTGAACTATACAGTTTAACAGAATAAAATTTAGAGTATATGTTATATATCAATAAAGCTGTTATAAAAAATGCATTTTTCAGAGTCTGAAAAGAAATAACCATACAATCAGATCGGCAGCTCCAAATAGGGCAGAATCATGACACTCACCTCAAGCTCTTCACTGTCTTTGGGTTTCTCCTCAGAGGTCTGTTTAACAAAGTCAGGGATGAGGATTTCCAGCGTAGCTCGGGCTATGAAAAGAAAAACCCTAAGGATGAGGGCTTGAGCCCAGCCTGCTTCCCAACTATACAGTCAGTGAGCTGTACGCTGTGCAGGAAGGGCCAGGGTCCCAATAGCTCAGAGGGGAGCAAGGGAACTAGGGAGGAGCAGCACTTTATAGAGGCAGGGACAGCAGAAGATGGAAAAGAGCACATCCTGAGGAAAGGAGGCAGTGCATGGGGAACTTTTGCCCTGAGGCACTTGTAGCAGGTAAGGGAGGAGATCTGTGTGACAGAGGAATCACGATGACAGGTGGGCAAATGGCTCAGCAGAATCTGGGCTAAGTTGGGGGACTGCAAGCTGAACAGGCTGCTGGAGTGTGGCAGAGAGAAACAGCCATACAAGATGGGTCCTCTGGAGGAAGTGTCTGCAGGACAGAGCACAGGGATGGCTCCATGCTGAGCACAGGTATCCGAGTAAGCAAGGCTGCTGAGTGCCACTGAGTTAGGGAAGTGGGGCACTAAGGGAAGAGGGAGGGGTGTGTGCAACAGTCTGACCCGGTAGGGTTATAGTGCTAGCAAGACATCCAAGAGCAGGTGTCTAGAGAGCAGATGGGGTGTAGGCGGAAGTGAATCCCTGCACATGCGGAAAAGTACAGCAGGGCCCTGACAGCAGGATGTCTCCAACCCCACACCAGGCCCCACTCTACGTGTTATGTATGCTCCATGACCTCAGTAACACCCAGTCTGGTGAGCTGAAAAAACCTTTGGCAGAATTTCTCAAAATTGGACAGAAGGCCTTCCTAAAGAACATAGCAGAGTGTGTGAGCCCAGCATAACCTCACAGAAGGACAGATAATAATGTATTATTTCAATTGTCCTCAGCATAAATCATCAAAAGAAAGCAACACTGAGGGAAATTGAGTCCTGTGAGCAAAAAACACTTCCACTGACCTGAGACCTAGTGAGACTGGTGAGACAAGATAAAACTGATACACTTCGCACTCTATAAAGGGCTGAGCTGCTCTGAAAGACAATATGGGAATGAGAAACCTCGGAGTTGACCTACAGGTGGCAAGGGCCTGGTGTGCATGCAACACCGTCCCCCACCCCACTCCCACCCTCCCCCACCCCCAGCAATGTGGTCTACTCCAAGAAGAGGCCAAATAGCTCTGACACTGGGACAAATGGCTGCTGGAAAACAATGCAATGACTACTAGCACTGGGCACAAAATCAAACAGCACACACACGGTCAAAAAGAGCAATGGGTTTTAACCAGAAAACATAAGCTTTCCTACGATTTGCTATGCTGTGTTCAATGACTGGCAGTCCCAAACTTAGCGTTTGAGGGACTGAGAAAATCATCCTCGCAAATGTCAAAACCACTCAAAGAGAACCACTTGAAGCAAATGCTGACAGCATGCTGGATCCACCTGTTTTTCATCTCCTAGCATGCCCACATTTTGCTCAAATACAAACCCACTCTAAAATATGGGCCCAGCACAGACCAGTCAGCTCTGTGAACAGTAGGGATAAGGGTGGGAGACTCCAGCCCAGTTGCCACTGAGAACAGAAGGGACCTTCTACTTTTATTTCTCACGTTTTACTTTCTGTTTCTGAATTTCTTCCAATGATCGCATAATTTTTAAAAATCAAAGTAGATGACTATGTAAACAAAATGGATTTGCCCACCCACAACCCTCCCACTTGGGCTGCTGCTCAGCCTTCCCTAGCCAAGGAGAGGGGTAGACACAACAGGCAGCATGAGGCTCTGACACTCAAGCAGGCACATTACCAGCTTTATTCTTCGCAAGTTTTTTGCTGCTTGCAGTTCCAGATCCATAGGTCACACCATCAATGGTCACCGAGGCGCCAAAAGGCTCACTTGGGTTCTCTTAAAATTAAAATTACTGTTTTAAAACACACTTGCCAAGACATTAAGTGTGCATGCGCACGCGCGCACACACAGACACACACACACACAATCCGCTCACACCAACAGACAAGGTGGGGGTCAGGGCTGCAGCTAGAAAGCAGATACCTGGGGGCTCCCTGAGGCATTGAGATTGGTCCAAGGAATGGTCAACAGGCAGAAAGCACACCAGAAAAATTGTGAGAAATGGGACTATGGGATAGTGGGCTGGAAGAGAAACAAGAGGCCAGTGGCAGAGCCACCAGGGACTGAGTCCAATGTGAGACAGAGGACTGTAAGGAGCAGGGATGCACAGATGTAGTGAGCCAAAGAAATGACATGAAAAACAATGAGTAACTCCTAGGTACTGGCTTCTAAGGAGAAGACAAACTGGTTTTCACAAAGGTGTGATGAAGGTAGAAATAAGACAGCTTGTGGGAAGTGCAGGCCTAAAGCCCCTTCATCCACCTCAGGGAACCTAGAGACAGCAGGGAGGCCTTCCTCAGAGCAAGGGACAAAAGGTAGGTGGGGGAAAGGGGAATGTGGACAAAGGAAGCGGGAAGCAGAGACACTAATCCTTAGACAGGATACATTTCCTTGAAAATGAACTGCCTATCTGTTCACTGCCCTCCCTGCCCTCCCCTTTCATTTCTATCCCAGCAGAGTGGAGCTAACCTCCAGCTCCTGCCTCCCCAGCTATGACCGAAATGAAGTATATGACTTTAGGACCGAGATGGGGAAGATCAAACTTACCACATTCAAAGAAATTATAAACAGGGCGGACCTTGAGGACGCGCTGCATGTACTCGTGCAGGATGCAGACCTCAGATTTCCCATTGGGGTTAATGACAAACTCTGTGACAAGAAGGACCATCTCAGCAACAGTGTGAGGACCACAAGCTAGCACTATGGACCTGGCACCATCCAAGTTACCAAGTCATTGAATTAGGGGCTCATCACCTTGAATGCGGTGGACCTCTGCATTTGTTGGGTAAACTCGAGCTTTGAATCAAATGCAACTCACACACAAAGTATACATTTAAAGAACATCAAATAAAAAATAGCAGTATAAAAAAATAACATAAAAAATGACAATAATATAAGCAGTCTGTCAACGTTACAATTTATAAGCCCCAACTCACCTTTCTTTGTGGGTGCATCTTGCACAGATAGAGTGATGAGCTTCTGATTGGCTGGCAGGATGGGCCGCTCGGATTCAGCCTGTTTCCGTTTCATTTCTCGGTTGAACTGCCGCCGCTCAGCCCAAGTCCTAAATTTCTTCACAGTAACTTGCTCAAAATCAAAACGCTTCTCCAGGTAGTTCCGAAATTCCTCCAGATCTATATAAGATATAGCAGAGAACCAAATTACTAATTTTTAATGTAAGCCATATTTCTCTGCCCGATGAATTGGACAGCAATGAGCTGCCCATCAGACAGACCCTGCCAGGCGATACCCTTTGCCCCTTCCCCCGTTCCTTCTGAAGGGCAAGGAAAGCAAATGACACTCAACCACTCCTTTCACTCAGCCAGCTCATGTTATTCTGGTAGGTCCCTTCTGAATAAACTTCTTGGATGTCATTTGTTTATCTGGACCCAAGAACAAGAATTAAAAAAAAAAAAAATTAGCCTCAGAGCCTTTCTCCCTGTATCAAAACAGGTACCTGATTGCCAACAGCAGTCAAGGGGAGCCGTATACCCAACTGCCCATCTTGCTCTCTCCCCTCCAGCCACCTTAGCCATCTCCGAATTCAACAGCATACCTAGGAAGTTCAGGCCTTGGCACTCATCACACCTATTCCTACTCAATTCCTGGCTCAGCTCCACAGCTCACCCACATGCCTTACCTCCACTGTGCACCCTTCTTCCCTACCATTCAGTGAGGTTCTAGCGGACCTCCTGCTTTTACTGTTGCACCCATTACCCGCCTCTCCCTCAGGATATCCTGGAGGTTCCCATCAGCCTCACTGGTTTCCTGCCTACCTCCCACCACTCAAGCATAAGCCCTGAAGCAGGGACTGCCATGACTCATGACCAGCCCAAAGAGCAGTAGCAGAGGAAGGTGAATGGAGGGGTTCCATGTAGGGAGACTGAGATATATACAGTTAAAACAAAAAGCTACAACACAATATACTTGCACCTACTTAATTATTAACCGGAACTACATATTTCTTTACACACAAATGCAGAAAAGTCAGTCTAGGAATAAGTACCAATGGTCACTTCCCACAAGGGAGTGACATAAGAAACGCAAAGCACGTGTTTTAAAGAAACAGTGTGTATAACACACGGTATGAAAAAATAAACCATTAAGTCTTAAAGGGGGAGCTCTCTTCCAGTTAGGTCCCTGAGAAAAGCCCCAACAGAAGATAGAGGAACCCAACTTGGATGGGGGAGGGAGGCAACACCAGCAGATAGGTTAAGGGGAGACCAAGGTCCATCCGTCAGGGAAGCTGGGAGCCCAGTAAGACACTCTGCCCATTCCTCAGATGCCTGAGGCTCCAACCAGCATGCTGCTTCTCCCCCACTCCTAGAAGCCAATCTCCCCTTCCTTAGCATCAGCACCCAATCCCCCCAGCTCTTCTAGGACTCTTGACATGTAAGATTTATGAGACAAGCCGGGCAGCAATACAATCGGAAACCCTGAAAACACAAAGTCCACTTTGAAAAAGGTTCAACAGGTGGGCTAAAATAGTTTGCCACCACTGAAAAGACAACTAAGACTTGAATAGGTAAAACTAAGCTAAAAGACATAGAAGAGACAGTGAGAAACACCAACACACATCCAAAAACCAATTGCAGTATTTAAAAGGGAAATGTCCACAGAATAGTGGCAGTTTCCCAACACTGCGTCCATAGATTGAAGAAGCTCACTCTGAGCACATCAGGATAAATCAAAACACCACATGAACACATCCTACTGAAAAAGCAAAAAACTTCAGGAAAGAATGTAATAAAAGTGACCACAGGAAAAAAACACAGTCTTTACTGATAGCAGCAGTCTCCATGACTACACTGGCCTTGAGGGATCTGCAGAGACCGGACTCAGGGGCCTGGAGCTCAGGACCCTGGCAGGTTCTCCTAAGAACAGGGAGATAGGCATTGTCAGCCATGTGGGAGTAGACAGAGGTCCCCAGCAGTCCCTGCCTCACAGACACAACTAAAAACAGATGGCATTCAGGAGAAGAAAGGGGATCCTGGAAAGGCATAGAATCCAATAGCATCCCTGCAATCTCAGCCAGCAAAGGGGAAAAAGAGTTCACTCCAGAAACTTACCAACTGATTCATCTTTGCAAACTTCGACTTTGGCCTTCACCTGCCCCAGGGCCCCAGGGGCAGCCTCAGCCCCCAGTGGGTCCTTCTCATCTGGGGGCCCCAAGTCGGCCCCCATGGAGTCAGGCTCTTCCATAGGGAACTCCAGCTCTGCAGATCGGCTGAGGGGCTTGACAGGTGACACTTCTCCACCAGGGGCGAGTTCACTGTTTTGCTCCCTTTCCTCATTGTCCTTCATTTTCTTGTAATGCAGACAGGGGATGCTACTCAGAGGAGGGTCATGTTTCTGTGGATAGTGAAATTGCAACACAGATTACAAGGATGGCCCTGAAGATCTGAATATCCGATGCTTTTCACCTGCCTCAGCTTGGCTACGATGCAATGTATGCAGACATACATGTTCAGTCTGTGAACTTACAAGACTAAATTCATGACTGATGTGTCCCCTACCCGTATGCTTCCCGTTCCCAAGAAGTATGGCCTGGACCAGGTGACCACCCGAGACTCTCTGTGTAGGTACACGGGGACTCCGGAGTTATGGAATGTCATGATCCACCCATCAGGCAATGGTTCTGTAGGTGGGCGGCCACGACCTGCACAGAAGACAAGAACATCCTACAATCACTTGAAAAACACGTAGAACTGTTGGGATGTTTTTAAAACTATGATATAAGGCATATAAAAACAGTAAAATGGACCAAGTGAAAAGAATATCTAAGAAACTAGGGGAGAAGGGAAGTGTCCTGTCCTCCGACAGACAGAATAACCTTTGCTAATAAACTGCATATCTGTTGAACACTACTCTCTATGACCAGGTAACAAGTCTTCATTGTAACTAAGCATATAAAATGCTACTCAAATTAGTAAATTTCTAAATCAGTTTTAAAATACTACACCCAACCACTTTCTTGTTTTACAGGCAGTCATTAAAAAAAAAAGCTCAAGACTTGTTATCCACTTGACACCTGCCACTGACAGGCCTTGTTGCTGGGAAAAGCACAAGGCAAAGATTTAATTTTCTTGTAGGTATTGGGATCAAGTTAAAAATTTTAGAAACAAAAGGGAAAAAAGCAAGTGAAATCTATACAAATATATACGTGATAAAAACAGCACCAGTGACTCCCATGAAAAAGGAGTGGCATTCCAGTGCCATGTCTCCACCTGGCATTGAGGGCCCCAGGCCTGATACCCACATGTGGCCAATACTGGACAACTGGTGTCCAGATGGCCCCTAGGAGGGAGTGCTGCAGATCAGAAGTACATAAACCCTATCAGGCACTCTCAACAAGCCAGGGCCAAGGAGCTGCCTTAACCAGGTTTGGGCTAAATCAGGAGACGCAGCAAATGAAATCCAAGCCAAGCACAACACGGGACACAAGTGCATCTAGGCCACTCATGTGTAATAATGAGCGGTCACAAAGTTGGCCCAGTTGTCTGAAGAGCTCACATGCCACTCACACACAATCTGTGAGCATGAGGACCAAGCTGGTGGAAAAGGTTGCAGAGGAAAATGCCGTGCCTGTGCAGGCAGGCCGAGTAGCCAGGCATACATCTAACCTGTGTACTGTTCAGAACAGATGTGGCTTTACTTTCTCAGAGACTGCTGAAACCACAGAAAGTACAAACCAATCCTGCTGGAGGCACCAAGGTAAAGACTGCCTCCGTACCCCTTCTTAGAAGCTGAGGTCCCAGGTTCATCCCTGTCTGGAACCAATGAACCCAACACCTGTCCTGTTCCAACCACGAGCCAACACAGGCAGGCACATGTGGTGCCCACCACTGCTAATGCGTCCACTCCACAGCCAGAGGAACTGCACAATACCTGCCCCTCGATTTCCTCCAGTCACACCTCGCCACCTTTTGTACCCTGGTCCTCAGCCTAAAGTGCCACCTGTGTGCCCGAGTCCTGATATATTTCTTCAGCCCCTCTTCTGAGCCCAACATCTCCACCTGGCTACTCACAGATGCCGCCAGGACAGACAGAAATTGATACCAGCTCTTAGACCAGCACCACTTAACAAAGGAGCTGCACAGGCACAACTCTGGACATTTCCCACTTCTCTCCACACTCTCCCCAAATCCAAGTGCAAATCCCACTGCCTGCATTTTCAGAACACCTCCACCTATACCCCAGCAGCTCTCACCCTGCCCACCTGAAGTGCATGAGCCATGATGAGGCTACATACAGGAGCTGTGCTTCTAGACAAAAATTTTGTAACAACACCTGTCTGCTTCTACTGGCTTCCCCCAAGAGCAAAGAACCAAGCAGCAAAGAACCCAGACCTTGACCTTCACTTGCCACCATGCTTAGCACCCACCTCTGGCCTCAGCCTCCACAAATGCTGATTGCCAGTGTTGTCTCCTAGCATACACCAATGTCCCCTCCCTCAAGGGTCCACTCCCCACCCCATCAGAAGTCCCCTCCCAGTTCCTCTGCAAGAAACCAGGTTCTCTGTTCCCATAGCACACACCATAATCCGCACCTGGATGGTCCTGTTTCTGGAAGCATCCTTGTGTCCTGTCTGTTTCTTCTTCATCGAATATGACTATCCTGCCCTTAAAAGCATGCCCAGACCACTGCTTGATACAAGGACTCTCAAACCTGCACATCTGCCACCTGCAAACACTCACTACTTTTCTACCTGCCAACTTACTTTTGAGTACTGTTTTAATCTTGGTCATCATTGGCTGCACACTTGTCTCTCCATCAGACGGATGGTCGCTGTCTCCTCCATATTTCTCCTCCACTCTTCTTTTTTTGGGAGCACAAAGGCCCTCTTCCAGCAGAGCATCGACATCGTTGTCAAAATCGTCCTGCAAAACATGCTGTTCAGATACC